CACAATGGGAATCAAAACATACCGTTTTAGATTCTTCTAGAACTGTACTGATGCACTCTGTGCCTGGACCACAGAGCAACGAATCCTCGTTGCTTGCATCCTGTCGTATATCATAATTAACGGAATAACGTTCGGCCGTCAGCACAATACTTAATTAAATAGACCTAGGTGACTCTCAACAAATTAAATGGGAGACATGAGCTGTTGGTCTACACCGACGATGTGAATCTACTGGGTGATAATGTAGATATCATAAAGAGAAACACAAAAACTTTAATTGACGCAAGTAATGAGGTTGGTCTAGAAGTAAACACAGAGAAAATTAAGTGTATGTAACTGTGTCGTCACGAAAATGCAGGGCAAAATCATGATATAAAGATAGGAAACAGATGTTTTGAAAATGTGGCACAGTTCAGACATTTGGGAACAATGATAACAAATCGAAACCTGATTCGGTAGGAAATTAAGAGGCGATTGAACTTGGGTAATGCTTGCTACCATTCAGTCCAGAACCTTTTGTCTTCTCGTCTGCTGTCCAAAAATATAAAAATTAGAATATACAAATTTACAATTTTTCCTGTAGTTCTGTATGATTGTGAAACTTGGTCTCTGACATTAAGGGAGGAACATAGACTGAGGGTGTTTGAGAACAGGGTGTTGAGGAGAATATTTGGACCGAAGAGAGATGAAGTGACAGGAGGTTGGAGAAAACTGCATAATGAGGAGCTTCATATCTTGTACTCTTCTCCAAGTATAATTAGAATGATGAAGTCAAGGAGGATGAGGTGGGCAGGTCATGTAGCATGAATGGGGGAAACGAGGAATGCATATAGGATATTGGTGGGAAAGCCAGAATGAAGGAGACCACTGGGAAGACCAAGGCGTAGGTGGGTGGACAATATTGAAATGAATCTTAGAGAGACAGGATTGGATGGTAGTGATTGGATTGACTTGGCTCAGGATAGGGACCAGTGGAGGGCTCTTGTGAACACGGTAATAAACCTCCGGGTTCCATAAAATGCTGGGAAATTCTTGAGTGGCTGCAGAATTGACAACTCCTCCAGAAGGGCTCAGCTCAATGAGTAAGTAAGTAAGTAAGTAAGGTGACTCTCAACAATTGCTTTACTTCAGTAGCCACTATATGTTTCGACCCTTAATGGACCATCATCAGGTAGTTCTACAAATATGTCTGTGGTTAACTGAATGCCTAATATGGATCCATATTGGTGCAATACATGACAGTCATAAAGTACACTCATGTAAATGTTGTAAAGTTAAAATGAATGTACATGAAAATAATGTTCAATGTTAAAATATGTCAAATATTAAAATTTTAGTATTAAGAAGTTATGTACTTTTAATTCTACGAATCGTGTTGTGTTACGAAGAACGTGTCCATGATGAACAATACTATGCCTGAGGACACATTGTTATATGTAATATATGAGTATATACAGAGATTGGTGAGGTATTCCTAGTTCTTCTGTATGTATTCTAGGATATATGATCGTTCAAGCATTATTACTATGCAGTATGCTGTGTCCTTATTATGTGGGCGTTTTGTGTCTCCTCTGTTCAGGTATGATGTGAACTTTTTGTGTTAGAGCACCGGATGGTAGGATGATTGAAGAAGAATGATTTGGAAGGAAGCAGTTGAGGCCTGAACGAGGCAATATTCTGGTGTTTCAATGGCTGGAATGAGGAAAACCATCAGGAACCTCTGTCAGGGTATGCAGTGTCCAGCTTATTATCCAAGCTTTACTGCTATGTGACCCAGCTTGGCGATGAATGTGGTGAACACTGCAGATGACTGCAAAGGACAGGACCAATGGTGGGCTCTTATAAACACTTGAGTCTTTGTAATTCATAAACTTTGCTCATCTGAACGACTACTAGCAGATCACAGTGGCCCTGTGGTCTAAGGCACAAACTGTCTTCACCCTCTTGAACACTGGGGTCATAGTTAAAAAGATATAAAGTTTGTGATGATGGTTGTCTGGAGATAGGGACTAGCTCTATCTATTGGACCCAACTGAGTAGGTTTTACCTGAGGACGGGGACAGAATTCAGTATCTTAAACATTGTGTTTTTAAAAAGAAACAGGATGGTTTTTAGAAAATAGACATAACTGGGGTTATAAGTTCAGATCCCAATTAAGGCACGTATTTCTCTTTGTGCTTAGTGTGTGTTTGTGCTGTTCTGTGTGTAGGTAGCAGTCTTGCGATGGGATGATTACTTGTCCAAGGAGTCCTACTGTCTGTGAAAAATATATTATGAAACTGAAGAAGAGGCCAGGACACAACTAAGGGCTGCAGATGTATCCATTTTAGCTGAACAGTTCAACACAGACTGATGTATATACTGATGTACCACCTGATGATGACCTAGTAACATTGAAACATGCAGTGAGCATAGTCAATAAACAAATAGTTACATGATTTAGTATCAGTTTCATTGTTAATTGTTGTGTTGGCATTGATGAGTACCTTGATTCTCAAGGACTTTACTTCAAGCAAATAGTTGGTGATAATTCAGATCATTTTTAATATTTTATTAGCAGAAATTATTCAGAAAAGTTCCTACCAGTATGTTTCAAACATATGCATATTCTCGTATGGACACCTATCGGTTGCCTTTATGGAATGCATCCTGTTGCGTGATATATTTTGTTTCTTATATGTAGATTTTGCCCATTCTAATACTGTCATCAAACAGAAATCATTGTAAATATGGGCCCATAAGAAATTGAGGAATGGAATTTGTGTGGGCTTTGTCTACTCTGTATATATACACTATATATATATATATATATTAATCCTTAATGACCATTCTTATTGTTGAGACCTCACCCCCACCTAATCGCCATGTCCCATCAGTTGAGAAACACTGCAGTAGCACATTTTCTGCCGTTTTGTTGTTGCTTGGTCACCCTGAACATTCGTCATCTTCAACTGATATTTGACTGGCCTTGAAATGTGAATGCCATTTAGAAACCGCTGTCTGGCTTGAAGAATGTTCTCCAAAAGCCTCATGAAGCATTGCAAGGGTTTTGGTAGTGGATTTACAGAGTTTCACACAAAACATGACACAGACACATTGCTTGATTTTACCATCCATCGCAGACAAAATGAAACACGAAGTCAAAAGAGAACTTGTGTAAAAACAATGTGTATTCACAGGGCAGTGTCACATGGCAGAATGAGGCATTGGGATTGTGGTTGCGTGACCTTGGCCTCCCCTCTCATCTTCTTTCACCGAGGCAGTTACAGCAATAACAGTCCAGGAACTTTCCGATAGCACTGTATGTCTGTTATGTTGTCAGCTGGTTCCCATTCTTGTTAAGAATTTGTTGATTATTGTGTATATATGCTACAGGTAATGAATCATGTCATGGACACATTACAGAAAAATATGACCGCATTTGAATTTATTAATAAAACATCTACAACTGCCACTTTCATGATGCAGGAAAAGAAGAGCATTGTTGTATTCAAGAATACAATGTTTACCATGGTCATTCTTATAAACAAAGAACTGGCACTACCTCCATGAACAAACATCCAGCAGAGCTGCATTCATTTGAAATAATATTTTGATATGGATGTTTCAAATACGTATGCAAGCTTCCATCGTTACATATCTAAATTGTGAGTAAATTCTGGGTATGCAGAGAAAGTAAATAGGAAGACTGGAATGAAAACAGCTGGTAGCCACACGTGAAAATCAATGATCTAAAAAATTACAAAAAACACATATGTCAAGGCCTGATCCAATAAAAGTTGTGTGAGATTTAAGGTTACACAACAGCAAGTATCAAGATTGCAGCCTTCTGGGATGTGACATCATACAGCTTGGTAGACAGGACCTGCTGCCTCTTCCATACTTCCAGGATGTTGGTACCCATCTACCAAACTACACGGCATCACATTCGAGAAGATCATGTTCTTAACAAAAGTTAATTTAATTTCTCTTTTAAAAATAATAGGGGGCATGTGGCAGCGTAGTTGGTTGAGGCACTATGCTACAAGCCGGAAGTTCGCGGGATCAAATCTCAATGAGGTGGATTTTTCAGTTTATCTAATCCTTCCAGCCGCACTATCACACTGGGGTTGACTCAGCCTCTAACAGAAATGAGTACCAGGAATATTCTTGGGGGTAAAGGGCGGCCGTTGCATAAGGCTGATGACCTTACCGCCATCTATGAGATGATTGTCTAGAAAATGTTGGAACCTCAACATCTCACCAACCTATGGACCTCCACGACCTGTTACAGGGATAGCTTACTTTACTTTACTTTACTTTAAAAATAATGAAAACCTCAGAGACTGATATCAATGTTAGTACCTTTCACAGGTGTGTCCACATGTGCATGCAGCATCATGATATATAACTGTAAATTCTTCTGATGAAATATTATGATCAGCAAGACGCTGTACATGCTCTGCTACTCTGCTATAGTCTTACAAATATATATAACTATCAGCACAGATTTCATTGGTCAACTGCGAACAACAGTTTGCGTGTTACTGAGATGAGCATCCTGTCATTATTTTCTTTCTATGTGGATTATTTAGTGCCAAATTTTGCAGATTGAGGTTGTCACATGGTCAGCACAGTGAATCCCATGGCTGTTAATTTCGGTTTTCTAGACCAGAGCAGTTATTTCCTTGAAACAGCTCCTCAATTATCATCACAAGGCCACTTCAGCGACAAGTGGCGGTCGCAAGGTCGGTATGGTTTGCTTGCAGACTGAAATCACGGAGTTTTTTGTTTTTAATGTGGATTATTTTTTATTACATGGAAGGATGCCAAATTATGAATTGGAAAGGATTTCAAAGGAAGCAGTCATGGACTGGCCAAGATACTGTCCCTACATTTGCCCAAAGGGACTCAGCAAAACCATACCAAATAATAGTTGGAACAGCCAGTCTCCCAGCATATATTCAAACCATGCATCTCCCAAATACATGCCTAAGAATCACTGTCATTGTTGATGTCTGAATATAATGATGATGGGAACACTGTAGTAGGAGGAGGAAGCAGTAGTAGTGGTATTAGTAGTTCTGGTATGAGGATTACGGAAAAGGAATATCATGAGTTACAGATAGATTTTATTAATACGAAGAATTGAAGAAAGAGTAAACAAAAAACTGTATAGCAACATAACAGGAGGTTATACCAATATCCACTATGCTACAGCTTGCAACGTGTGTTTGTTCCATACTTGCTCATCATTTTTGCAGTTATGGAATGATACATTTCAATATTATGACGTTCATGAGGATGGCGCCAGGCAGTGCGTTCCATTGTAATTTCTGATTTGCGCTTGATTCCAGGTACATGAACAAGAAATGCTCCGTCCAAAATGATAAACCGGTAACCTTTTAGGCACATCTCGTTCATCTATTAAAACAAAAAGAACACAATACATCATCTTTAACATCATGATAAAATTTCAAACAATAATTATTTCACACCACTGTGAAACTAGACTCAAAAATTGTGCATAGAATAGAATACAATAAAGCCATATTACCAAAATCTGCAATCACATTATACTACAGAGTAATTAATTTTATTGTCAGGCTATGCACTTCACTGCCAACACAGTTGCTGAGACACAGGATCCTAGGGATTTCCGAGAACTTCAGTCTCACTACTCCTATATCATATAATTTTACAGTCTTGAAGTACAGAACCTTCACTTCTATGTAGGCCTCAAATCTTAATCAAAGTTGTCTGAAAACAGCAAAAAGTTGTCACTAAAAGCTGCTTTTGAGTTTCTTGAGCAAATGTGGGCAGTTCAATTCAATGGTGTGACTGAGGAATAGAAAATTTCATGCAGGACAATTCCACAGTCAACACTGCATTTAACTTTTTGTAAGTTACAGCCAAAATATTTGGTGAAACGGATAACTCTCGGACTGTGGCCTCCACAGTCACAGATTTCAATATCTGTAATTTTTATTTACTGGGCACTTTAAATGACAAAGTGTACATGAATTGCCACAGACAGACTAACATAGCACTCAACCTACGTTCTTACAAAACACAGGCCATTAAATATCAAGCAATATGTGATAAATTCTCGCTGACATAGATACATTATTCTTCTTACTTTTAAATCTAATTTCATATCCAGGATATTAATTTCTTACATTTTCTTTATAGCCTACTTTCCGAATTTTCTTACCAGAGGGAGGACAGATACACAGAAGGACATGACTAGACTGGAAGAACATTTGGTGACTGAATTGGTAGTGAGGCTCATTGTATGATTTACTGCCTCTCTCACTTAGGCAGCTGCAACAAGTAGTGAGACTGCAGCAACATTGTACAGTGAAGGCAACTGGCCCACATCTTCCCTACATACCTTGCATATTTACCGAATCTGCATAATGTACAGGGCCCATAACCTTCCTTCCAACCAGGATATATCAGACACCAGCTGTTCACCACAGAGTGCAACTTAGGACATAAGATGCGGACTTCCTTTGTTGCAGTATGTTGCCACATGATAGTGACTACACAACAGATTAGGGCTGGAAATGCATTTTACTCGACACTGAATTCTCTGTCTACAAATGATTACAATAATTTACAAATATTCATGGGGTTTCATGGTCTGCTGTATCATTCTTGCTTGGATCCTCGATGCTGACTTCACAGACCCTGTTGCTTGGTTGCAGGCTCAGACAAGAATGGTGACTCACATGACATGCTTCTTCATACGACATTCGCATGGACCACCGATTCCTAGGGTTCCTTGACTGTAGTGGGCATGTGCACTGGTGTGGATACATGTCCTATCGTGACACTACCTAGCAATCAACATCTCCATGAAATTCCTGTGATTCGAAGACACTAAAGTTTCTGGATTTTGATGTCACGTCACAACGTACTGTTTCGTGTCCATGTGTACACCTAAATAAAAAAAGCCTTGAAGAAAGCTGTCTTCTGGGAAATTGTGTTCTTCATAGTGAAGCCGTGAAAACCTCATATCTTACAAAAGTAGCCTTGTTTGGAAAATGTCACTTGGAATTTGGTTTGCCAGAACTGTTATATTTTAGCGTCCTGTTGCACTGATTTAAGTCCATGATTTATTTCAACCGTCTTCCAGTGCATACACTCATCTATCTCACTCCTCTCTCTCACACTACATGTTTCGGCACAAAAGTGCCATCTTCAGGTGCTTATTCGATTTACGTTAAACTAGTTAAACGTTAAGAACACATACATGACATAAGACACAATAACAGCAATACAGGATACTCAGAACACATATTAAACACAGGACATGCATATGGTACTATAGAAAACACTATGGATATCATAGCAACAGGTAGGAAGGGGCAATACTTGAACACATTGGAGAACTACCATATATGTATATAGAACGACAAAGAAAAACACACACATGAATAAAATAAATAAAGAAATATATAACCCAATATACCACGAATTAAACACTATCTACACAGAACAACATAACAACACCCCACCACCTACCCCCACCACATCTACGCCCACAACATCATAACTCACTCAAAATGAAGACAGCACACACACACATACCCAGCAGGCCCAGCAGTATAACACACGCAGTCACAGGAGCAAGACACAACACAAAGCACAGTGAGTATTAAAAATTATAATACCACAAGTAATAAATAAAATACGGAACACGGTATTAATGAATAACAAATTCACGTTACAGATACACACATGAAAGTAGAAAGAGTGCTCCGACAGAAGAGGATAGGTGTGACTCGTGTAGTGAGATACGACGTAGGGATGAAAAATCCTGAACAATTTTAATATTTTTAACATTTAACATTTATCAATATATATGATAAATATATATTTTAGTTATTTTAATATGAAGACAGCAAGGCATGCAGTGAACTACTTTAACGTAAATCGAATAAGCACCTGAAGATGGCACTTTTGTGCCGAAACATGTAGTGCGAGAGAGAGGAGTGAGATAGATGAGTGTATGCACTGGAAGACGGTTGAAATAAATCATGGACTTGCCACAACTGACTGAATGTACCAGTCACAGAAATGACTGGATCACATGGCAACATCACACAACTGTGGTTTTATAAAACTGTAGTTCCAGTAATTTCAGTAACATTATGGTCCATCCCATGGTCTCCTCTGACACTCCAATTTCTCGTACAAGGCACTCAACCTATTTACATCATGAAACACTTTTCTGGGCAATGACCATCTCATGACGATTTTTCCTGAATTAAACAAAAGCCTTTAGCTATAGTTCATATCAAGAGTCCTCAGAAATTTCTTCAGCAGATGTCAATATATGTGAAAGTATCATAAAAGAACATGGTAGGGCAATGGAAACAGTACAAACTTAATGGAACAGATGAATGAACACACCATTGTGCGCTCTTACATACTCACAACACTCCCATGTATGTGCTTACAAATGCGAACGACAGAAGAATAGCTTCCCTCTATTAACCAGCCAGTTTTCTTGCTTTACTGACAAGTTTATACACAGTTTTTCTGTGGGAAACAAAAATACAGTGAACATTTCTTCTGGATTTTCTCAGGCACCTCCAACAAGACTTACACTGTACATAATAAATTTGATCCTTTAGTACAAGCATATCTGCATCAAATAGAAAGGGAACCTTGTCAGAAGCTTCAAAATTTGTAGACACTATGACCTCATGAAACCACAGCTGTGCAGAGTTTGTATGGATGTGAGTCAGTAATTTTTATTAAAATGGTAGTCACATCTCATACGCTAAGTTTGAGTTCTGTGTTTATTTCTGATTTGCCCTGTATGCAAGAGGGATTATAGTCAGTGAGATTACTGCAGGTACAATTAATTCTGAGAGATACGTAAGGCAGACACTGTAAGTGGACCAGTTACTTTCGCTCCATGATGCTGATGCAGTCTTACTATCGCTGCAGCTAAGAGGGAAGTACAGTAACCCGTACAGCATGCAGTGAGTGCTGACAGCATAAAGGCAGTGCACTGACATAGCTGCTACATATGCTCCCTGTTAAGGAAAAATAAGACTTATGATACCACCATCTCCCCACTAAAGCTTTAATCAACTGAAATATTTTAAGGCCTCCTAACCTCTCTTTTCTATAATTTCCCACCACCACTAATAATACCAGCATGGTAGCTTTGCGAATTTGTGAGGTGGGAGTGACACTCACACCACTGTTAGCGTATTAATTCAGGATCCTAAATTTTTGGGTGATGATAATCTTTTGAGGAAAATGTAACTTCTGTGAAGCTGATGTCTTGCAGAACATAAAATAACATGTAATACCTGGAACAAGGCACGTCAATTTTTTTACAGTACACAGCAGAATATGCCCACAAAGTCTGTACAAAGCATTTGTACATGTTAACAACCACAAACACAGGAAAAGTATGAAGCTCTGCAATTATAATAACCAAGTTTAATGTAGTCAGAATCAATATTATTTGAAATTATACAGAGAAAAGGATCATCAAACTGATTAGCCGTTTATTTATAGTTCTTGCTAGTCTTACTTATTTAAAAAATGAAGTTACTGCAAGTTTTTTCAGAATTTTCTTTGCTCTGAATTTTCTCAAATCAAAATCCCAGTGTTACAGTAACATATATCTGAGGAACAGTTTTATGAACAGAACTGCTGTCTGTAAGGGTGACAGGAGTAAATACTGTGGCATGGAGACCCATTGCTAGGCAATGACTGCAAGATAAGCAAATATACAACAGCCATTACTGAGTAAAGGCTTTGCATGTTTGCATTGCAACAATTTGAAACATAAATAGAAGAACGGTGTTTTCTTTGCTGTCAGTGCTGATAAGTTATAAGCAGGACAGTTAGTTGAAAGTTTACAGGAAAAGTCAAGGAGTGAGGGAAGACCGTTAATGAAAAACGACTAGTGAGGACTGTAACAGACTGAGATAGTGTGTACTATAGTGACTGCAAGGAGGATAAGAGAAGTTGAGAAGTTGCAGTTAGTGAGAGTTAGAGAGAAAAATTAAGAGCATGATGAACTTCAGTATACATTGAGATGGCAGATGTTCCAGTACTGGGATTCTACAAATACTGGTCACAGAAGCTAGCATCGCTGATATCTGAATGTCATGCCATCATGAACAAATACCCAGAAGCAGCTTCTGTAGTGCAACAAGCATAAAAAGTATTTGGTGACACTGAGAACATGGTAGCAGTGGACAATGTTGAGATCCGTCACAAGGCAACGACTGGTGAAGGAGATCCATCACAAGGCAATGACTGGTGAAGGAGATCCATCACAAGGCAATGACCGCTGAAGGAGATCCATGACATTGCACAATTGTTATGCAGTATGTAATTACGCTTACTCATGTTGACTTCTTCTATATCCATGTTCATGTATTCATGTATTCATGTTTTTTGTAAATATTTATATATGGCTACTGTTATGACATTGCACAATGTGATGCAGTATGTAATTATGCTTACTCATGTTGACTACTTCTATATCCGTGGTGTTTTGAAAAAACCATGTAAGGATTTATGGAATGCTGAATAAATGTAAATGTAAATGTAAATCACAAGGCAATGACTGCTGAAAGAAATCCATCACAAGGCAATGACTGGTGAACACACAGTAGGCTGAGAAGACCTAGTGTGTCCTATGGTGATTTGTGAAGTGTAGTAACAAGTTCTGTAAGTACACAATAAATCCAATTACCAATCCAAACCCTGTCTACAGTCACTCAGTCACGTGACAATATGATTATCCTGCTACATGCCATACACCAAAAAAAAAAAAACAATGCTTCCATTCAGGCAGTCTCTCTCACTTAACAGAATACATTTATTCTCGGTTTTAATGTAATATAACCAACTTTGAGTTCGAGAACTGGTAGAAAATTTCCATCTATTTGTTTCAGGTAAAGTGATCATCTGTAAAAATGGCATCTAATGTACTTTGTATTTACCTGTGTCATCTTATCCTGTTGTCCTTCCCATGTCAGCTGTTCACTGTAAAGAGGTTCCTGACTGGTTCCAATGTAAATAGGTTCCCAGCGATGATAAGGGAACTCACGTCGCACCACTAGCAAAGGCTATAAAAGGAAGTTCATCATTACATAAATGTTTTTCCTATTTCAATTACATGTTTTTCTCCAAATGCTACCAGTCATCAGGCATGCTGATTTACTGGCAAAATGTGTGCATCTCACAGCAAGTGGCGCACCAGTCACCTTAAAGTGCAACGTTGTGAACCGATCAATACAGTTAAAGAACTCTCTGTATAATTTAACTCATTAGTTTGAAAAGCAAACATTTCTGCTTTTCAGCCATTCAGTACAGTCCCTCTACCTACTAACCAGTTCAGTTAAATATAACTCAAATTAAGGAATCATTACACATAATTTTATTAAAAGTATATTACTAATTGCAAAAATGTTATGGCTGAACAATATATATTGTGCATATAAGAATATTATACAATACATGCAAGTGCATAAGCTTTATTCCTATCAGAACACTTCCTGTTAGACAAGTGAAACAGAAAAAATCTGCAATGCTAATACATACAGCTGCAATTTGTAAAACTAATAATGTGTAGGCAAAAACACTACAAAACTTCACATATAACAAAAGCAGAAAAGTCTACTCCAACAAGGTGCACATAACCAACTCAATGTAGCTCAGCCCTTCTTGAGAAGCCACCAGATGTGCATATACTAAAAAATTTCCCATTTCATGGAACCCAAAGGTTCATTACCATGTTCACAAGAGCCCAGTCATTTTGACTACCTACTATTAAATCATTACTTTGCATCAGATTTCAGTGAACTTGTGACCTTTCCCACTCCTGTTCTGTCACACCTTGCATATGAAATGAGATGTACACATGGCAATATTATTCAATGATGCCAACACAGGCCAGTCATTAGACAGCGCATTATTTTATCAGTTTTAAATTTGGTTTATTTAGGTTTCACTGATTCTTGGGTTATTTAATAATGCTTTCTTCAACTGCGCACATTATAACACTGAAGGATAGGATTACTGTGACTTAAATATTGGACTGTGCAAATATATCGTTGTGGTTTACTTTAAGGTGCCACCTGGAGAGTCTGAAATCCATGAAAAATATCAGTCAATATTACTTGTCCCCAGGCCAAGATGTGAACTTGGGCTCTTCAGGACATGAAACAGAAATGCTTATCACTCAACGGCATCATCTGGTCTAAATTTACGTTTGTTATTTTACGCAGCTTTCTTGTAGCTTTCAAGTTGATTAGGTTTCTTTTAAATAATATTCAGTTATGTTGCACAAGCAAAAGAGGATGGTGAAATACTGTAGCAGCAAATATTTTATACAGTTTTGCCCAAGTCTGAAACTCGTGATACATAACACACAAGCTAAATCTCTATCTTTAAAGTATACAATTCAAGTGGCTTCAATATGAACAACATTCCCTACACATGACATGGGGGGGGGGGAAACAACAACAACAAACAAACAAATGAAAATGTTCTTGTAACCATTCCTTCACTAATTAAAGACATACAAACGTCTTTAATTCCACAAATAAATAATTGAAAGGGCATAAATTGCAAAACAAAGTCTTATTTTAAGTATGTGTTAATGAACTAGGCCCCTGTATAGCTACACAATACTGTGTCAACAAACACACAATATTTTCTTGCAACAGTGAACTACATACAGGCCTACAAGCAGTGCTTTCTTGGTGCAACAAACATAAGGCGAGGAAGCTAAATGCATACAGGTTTTGTCTGTAGTCACAGAGTATAAAGCACACATCCTTGATTGTGTACTATATTTTAAATAACTAATTTATGGTACTTTTCCTAAATACTATAATAATAAAGATGGGAAACAAATTCTTATTCCATACATAAACAAGAAGTTGTGGACTGACCTTACAACTCCTAATTTACTTCAAATGCTTCAACTATTATCAGTTTTTTATGGAATCAGTAATCCCCTTATGTGTAACGTTTGCAACCGTTAATATGTAACAAACTGTTTCACACTAAATTAATAGCTTTGTGTATGATCTGTTCATACCAAATTTCACATATCTAACTCCAGTGGTTCATTAGTTACTACAATTAAACATGGTAGTTGAGTACAGATTTTTATCCAGATGCATTCTGGTGTTTCACAATACATCTGATTTTAGGTCTTCTGGTTTCTTTTTTAATATTGACATTTTCAATTTGTAGTCCATTTTCAGTTTGACATTATCTGTGATGTTTAAAAATATGCACCTTTCTTTTCTCTAGTTAGATTTTTTATCATTCTGTATTTCAGCATCCCGTTGCAATTGTTCAAATTAACGTCCATTATTTATCGTCCGTCAGTATTGCAACACTCTTCCACTCACCTCTCAATTTTAGTTTAACATTATACACCTTGACACTACATGTTTCGGCCCCAAACGGTCATCTTCAGGTGTCTTGATATATTACAAATATTTTATTAAACTGTGTTGAAACTGCTACACTGTCTTAGTTAGTGTTAAAATCACACGCTGTAGTCCTCTTTTTAAGTTAAAAACAGATAAAATCCTTTAAAGTTTCTATTATACCCACATTATTTTGGTGCATATTATTTCACCTCACACGGGGTGCCATCCATTTTCATCAATGTATGTCTGTCCAGGGTGTTTTTCTTGGCAGCTTACCCCTCACGTTCGTAGCCCACTTTTTAGTTTTGACTGCCATATGCCCCTGGTTTGCGTGTTTCCTCCACAGCGTGTGGTGTTGTCATTACTGTGTTCACAAAAGCCCTCCAACTGTCCCTATCCTAAATGATATCAATTACTGCAATTGGCTTCAATTTAGAAACTATAAAACAACTGATACCCCCATTTCTGCTCTGGAGCTGATGCTAGTACTGTTCTGAACTGGTTTACCTTAATTTATTTAATTACTTATTCATTTCCCATCAATACACATTGCTATATTATAGTCTCCATGCTACATAAACATTAAATGTAACAATGAAAATTATAAACATGCGACACTTCAAAAAGATACAATAGTTCCTTCAATGAAGACATGTGAAATTCTACACTTTGTGCATTCACAACATAAGCAGACTAGACTTTAACCTACATCATTCAGGACTGTGCTACAGAAAAATAATGAAAAGAGCACTATTAACACACAAATTTATGGGCAGAAGCATATTAACTAGCCAGAGTGGGAACAAAAAGAACCTGGATAATGTTTGGATTTTCAGCAGATGGTTTCCGTTGGAGCCACCTCTGTAGTCCAGGAAACCTCTGACAATGAAGGCAAACCCAGCGATGGAAGTACACAGCCTTATTCTGTGCATAAAGCTCCAAGAGTTCTTCTTTTGTTCTGGGCACATTCGATTCTTTCTCATCCACTTCAAATACAGGCAACACAAACACAAAGTTCTTCATGCGGGATTCTTGCATGATAGGTAATGGAGGGTTAAGGTCAATATCAGCACTGTCACCTTCAACACGTTGCTTGCGGAATCTTGACAGCATTGAAAGAAAAGCAGATACCAAATCTTGGCTTGGCAGAAGCTCCACATCGGAAACTAGGACATGGGAGGTCTTGGCTGCCTTTCTTGCAACGTTTCGTCCCACATTCACAGGATAGGTGAGACCCTCCCTTTGTCGGAAAGTTTGAAGTTTCCCACCAACTAAGGCTTCTGGTGCTGAACAGTCAGTGAAATTTGGGTACTGATGTACATTTGATCTTGAATCATAACTAGCGAAGGCAGTCGATGTGAAAACTGGAGGGTGTGTTACTGGGAAGATTAAATGTACAGACAGTCTAGACATTTCAGGAAGGCAATGGCACAGTTGATGAATAATGGCAAGGCTGAACCCTGCATCTGTACATGGGGTATAAATAGCCAAGCTCACTGGCCCATCCCAGCGCTTAACAATCTCAACAATATGGTACAGAAATTCTGGTGTGGCATGTGTACAGTAAGTTACACTAAAATTTGTAATAGGACCATTATTTGTCTTATTATCCGATATCCTGACAACATTGTAGATAACACGATATGGTCCCAACTCACCAAGTTCTGGACTAAAAGCCATATATTTACCTGTCCAATTAAAATGTTCTGGAGTCCCATAGCTAAAGTGGCAGTAACTCTCATTTTGGGGGAGAACACCTTTCAGAAAGCGTCCTGGCACGAAATTGGTCTGGTTGGGAGCTACTAGTGGTGGGTGGAATGAGAAATGTCCTCTACTGGGTATGGAAGCATCATGGCGAGGCGAATGTGGCATCGAGAGTGAATCCCAAGCCTTTCGCCATTTGAATATTTCACTTAACAGCGTGAAACACGTGAAAGCAAAAAACAAAGGCCCCAGAATTTTCAGACGGATGTAACGCATTACAAAATAAACCCTCATTTTCCGTTTTACCCTACTTCAATGTCATTTGTTAACACCAATGTCACAACTGCCTCATCCTTTTCACGGGTCTATTTATACAACAAATATGCATTCTTTAAAGTTTACTGTGTGTACTGACACAGTGATGTTTTTGACTTATATTACATTGGCACACAATTGTGGTATTTCTTTCCTGTTTTAATATCAAGAGTTGTTTCACGCATCTTGAGTTAATCCACCAACCGAGTTAATCTTCCTCGACGCATTCATTAACTTCAAGCAAACCGCTTTACTTTCCAAACTCAACCTTCGACCAAAATAAATCTGAACTTAGCTACGTTCGAGCGTTCGAGTTATCGTATCAGAGTCAAAGAGTTTAAAAGGCAGACAATTAGGATTTGAGATTCCCATAGAGGTGGTCAAGGTGGATGTGAAGAGTTCTACCAGCTGAGATAAAACGCTCGTTGAAAGTCAACAGACGTCTCAGAGTAACATGTTGCATCCACTTGCAGGTTCAAAGAATAGGCCGAGCAAGGAACCAGAGAGAAGCAGGTAGCATGCAGAGTCTCTTCGACTCTGATGATGGAGGAGATATTTTCTTCCGAAACGTCGGTTGGCTTTCAACGGACTACACGGCGTTATATCGCAGAAGGCAGAACCCTTCAGACATTTACAAGTATCGGATATCTGAAGTAGCTGTAATCAAACATCAAATTGTCAGCCCCAGCAAGCGTCACGAGACACACTTGCACGATGTGCATAAGAGCTAGCCACACAGTCGTAGAACACAGAGAGCTGTTAAACAGAGAAAGTCACCAAAGGTACGTTAAAAATCCATATTATATTATTGTTGTTATTTCTTTGCATAACGTGGACCAAATCAGTCTACATTATTTCATTTCTTAAACTAACGACAGATTGTGATTAAATTTTGGAGTTTGAATTAAACTTTGGGCCAAATTAATTCTTGTTCAATTCGACCCAATAAAATCTTACTGTATACAAAGCTCAGATCGAACTTTGTCAATTTCCCATAAAGTAGTTCATCGCATAAGAGAATCGCTGGATAACATTAAACATACACTTCATTAATTTCTGTAATTTGTATATGAAAAATTCGCCGTTGTGAAAACCACAAATCTTATAATCAATAATTTGATTACTTGTGCAATAAAGTGTCTAGTTTTAATTTCATGCATCCTGTTGTGTTACAATATACCATCTCTTTATTATATCCGTCACAACACAACTAATATCAAGATCAGACCATTTTCGGCCCTGCTACATGTTTCGGCTATTGATAGCCATCATCAGGCAAACACATGATTTACACACATATACACACCACTGAACCGCAGCACCAACAAAATTGGATACAATATTATTAAAATATATAAAAACGCTAAAAGTAAAAAAATACAACAAATCAAGTTATATAAAACAGAAGTATGATATAAAATAAGAATAAAATTCTTTCGGTGTTTTTACATTAACGTGTCAGTCGTTGGTTTGTGATTTGTTTTTTGTTTCGTTCCCACGGACAAGTTGGAATATTCATACTTATGCGCATATAAAATTGTGTATGAGGCTCGTAATGTAAATAAATTATAACAGTCAGTGTCTCATCTCACAAAGTATTGTCCTTACTGTAGGGAATGTAAACAATTTTAATAATATTGTATCCAATTTTGTTGGTGCTGCGGTTCAGTGGTGTGTATATGTGTGTAAATCATGTGTTTGCCTGATGATGACTATCAATAGCCGAAACATGTAGCAGGGCCGAAAATGGTCTTATCTTGATATTAGTTGTGTTGTGACGGATATAATAAAGAGGTTGTAAAGTGTCTAGTATTGTTTACAATCATTATAGCCACATTACTTAACATATTTTCAGTCCAATTTCTTCAAAAGAACAATAGAAAAATAAAAACAATCCAGGGAGAAGAACTGGTTCCATTAAGGGCCGTTGTAGAGTACTCCTCTTTGAGTTCTATGCATTTGTTCAATTTCGCTAGTAGAGATAGAGTACCCGAGAAACTTAAGGCTGTAGGTCTGAAAATACTCTAAAACGGTATATTTGGCACAGAGATATTGGGTTTTCGGACTTTATCCATCGTCCTGGTTTTTAAGATAACTAAGAAAAACACGACGTTTCGGAAACTGGATCTGTTTCCGTCCTCAGGTGAGGGAAACCAGTGATTGAGGCTAGCTCTTTCTAAGGGACCCAACAGAATAGGTGTTTTCCCTCACCTGAGGACGAAAACATCCAGTTTCCGAAACGTCGTGTTTTTCTTAGTTATCTTAAAAACCAGGACGATGGATAAAGTCCGAAAACCCAATATCTCTGTGTGTTATACACCATCGTCAGAATCCTATAGTAACTACCGGTATATTTGGGTTTATTTTATCTTGAGAAACATATTTACACAGGTTTTAATTCAGATTTCTAAAATGAAATAATCGCTGGTTGCCAAATCTTGAAAAACTCCCGTTAAGTGGGTGTAGCACTTGAGACCCGTGAAGGGCTGTATTCGGGTTATGGTAATCTGGGTTGTGATATAGTGTAGTCTTGTGGTTCACCTTAATGCTTTATTCCGGTCATCCAATTCGTCTTACTAGTGACCGATTTATAAGAGGCTTCGCACTAGAAACAAATCTATATTCCTTTACATATGTACTTCCGTCTTTAATGCAAAATTGTTTACAATTTCTCCTTAATTTAATATAATATTAAAATTACATTTAAACTGCTACATGTTTCGGCCTTACTTCACCATCCTCAGGCAAATGTTTATTTGTGGAAACTGCTATACTGAATTTGTTCTCAAGCTAAAATATGCCAATGTTATTTAATTTTCGTCGTTCACGTTAGAATACGTTTGCTTGAGAACGCCACTCTTTATCGTTTCTTACACTGTCTTCTTGCAGCGTCCGTGTTTTTGTGTATCTTTGTTTAGCCCTATGAATATCGGCTTGGAGTTGATATCATTGTTATTTTTATTTGCCCATTAGCGTGTATGTTCCCGCGCAGTCGCTCTAGTCATAATTAGTTATAATAGTCACTTGGTTGCAAAAAGAACTGGCCCTGGTGGCGAAATCTTAAACAAGCCATGGCCTCACAATCACATGAGACGAGTGTCTGATTCATCTTCTTCTAGGCACTTTTCACAAGTGGGGTCATTTGTCAAACCCAGTTAGAAAATGTGTCCTTTTAGGTGACAGTGTCCTGTAAATAGTCCTCCCACCCATAAATCGTGACAGTAGTTTAGAGTACTGCCAATGATGATCACAGCTTGTACAAAAGGGAGAAACATAAACTGTCATGAACATAAGAAGAAGAAGAAGAAGAAGAAGAAATGTTTGTGACAAGATCCGCCCCTAAAATCGGACCGCCCTAGGCGACCGTCTGATTCTCCTGTGCTGTCGCGACGGCCCTGAATATTTTTTCAAACAACTCTTTGTCCTTTTTATTACACCTCTGACTTTGGTGTTCATTTATTTCGGACACAAAGTCCGATATTACTAGGAAGTTAATAATAGAAGATACCACACTTCACGAAGCATAAAATTCGTAGTTTTCTTTGTATTCCGTTAAATATTCACCATACAGCTGAACATTTGAACGGAAGCGAATGATGTCTGATTTATAGTCTGTGTAAGATACAATATGGCCGCGCCATAGCTCAAGCGGCTAGTCGCTAGCTTCCCACCGCGGCGGGCCGGGTTCGAGCCCGGGTCTGGACATGTGGGATTTGTGGCGGACAAAGTGTCGGTGGGGCAATATTTCTCCGAGTACTTCGGTTACCCCTGCCAATCTTCATTCCACTAATGGCTCCACAATCACCCTCACCAATCATCTGGGGCTAGTACAATAGGCCAGAAGTGGCCGCAGTACCAAGTGGACTTAATTCCGCCCCATTAAGGAGCGTGAGCCGTGTTAGAAATAATGTACGAGCTTCAGCTTGTGCTCCTAAATGCTGGTTGTTATCAGTTGGTAGGCTATACACCAAAATTAAATTGTCCGACAATAACCAAACAAGATAACAATTACTAAGTTTACCATTGAAAAATATGCTTTCAGAAACTGGTTCCCACTTTAATAATGCGTCCATAAGGAAGTTCCTTTGTTTCCAAAACGACGCCCCATCGCGTGATCTTCCTTCTCTAATGTAGACAATATTCGTGATGCGCTGATAACGTATGTAGCGGGATTGGCGGCGTATATAGCAGGTTTGACGAATCAAATTTGTCGAACTAAAATTGTTACTTTAATGTGTAGCTGTAGATTTGAGGATAATATTAAAGTACAGCCTGAATTATGAGGACACGAACTGAATAGAACTGGTTCAAGATAGACTAAAATAGCAGGGTCTTTGATATCGGCGGTGAACCTTCAGGTTTCGTAATAAGGAATCTTTTGACCCTCTGAATTTTAACTGCCTGCTACTTAAGGGAGAAGGGAGAGTTATATTTCCTTGTGGATCTCATCAGGAGCTGATGTAAGCTTTGCGGACAGAACCTCGTTACCCATTTTGCAGCCATATCTCCGATCTGAAGACAGAGAATATTAAGAGCCCATAACTGACATGATACACATGGTATTATTCCGAATACAGAGTGAAAGGTAAAGCTGTCCGTGTGTTTAACTAAATACGCACTACGCCAGGAAGTAGTATAGGGCAGTGAATATATAGACCCACGTTTTCTTGACCTCGATACTAGTTGGAGGTGAGTGGTCAGCCTCACGCCCCGGTCGCTTTAACTTTGGGGAAAGAGCCCCCGTTACTCATTGGATAGGAGGCTGGGTGGACTCCTGAGCCGGTCTGGACGACGTGGAGAAGAGAACAATTTTTACTCTACGGGGATTCGAACCCCGACGCCTCGGCCGTCTAGCCCATAGCCAGTCACTACACTGCCAGCGCTTCTCCGGCTTCCCGAATATAGGGTGAAGTTTTTTTTTTCAAATACTGCTTCTTAGGAGAGGTTGCGTCATATTCGGGACCTTAAGGATAAATATGAAGAGGGTTATGAGGAGTTCTAATTGATAATTCCACTGATACTTGTGAAAATGCCTAAAATTGTATGCAAGGTAGTAATTTTAAACTTATAGCTCCTCAAGAATATTGTTTTTACTACTTTTTGCTTACAACTCTCAGAACTAAATGGCATAACAATTTTACTAAAACGCATTGTTTCTTATTTTTTCATTGGAAAATTGGGCTGTTGCCTTATATTTGGGCTTGCATGGTATTTTAAAAAAGTTTAAAACTAACAAAACAAACTATAGTCAAAAAGTGTACTTTCCTTCTGCATTATTTTAACCTAACGACTAATTGAATCATATTTATAACGTAAGTGTATGCCTGCAAAGAGGCCTGTAGAATATGCTATTCAGACGTCCACAGGGTGACGCGAGCAGTTTGAACTGTTAGACCGACTTCTTTCTATCTCTGCTTTATACCGTAATGTGAGAGATAGGTCCGACATACGGGTGAATTCATCGCAGTATGAGATTTATACACGTCCTCTGCCTGTGGTGACACTAATTTTGACGGCAGAACTGGTGCGGGCGCCTGATTCCATGGCTTTTACGAAGAAGAAAAAGAAATACTAATGCGTACACTGAGGAATTGTGTGCTAGAATCAAGACAAAAAAAAATGTATCCCGTAGGTGTGAATATGGCACGATGCTGTGACGTGAGCGTCTCTCTTGTGAAGCTCTGTGTTTCTTAATTAGTCACAACTAGGTTAAGAATAGATTACGAAAATTTACTTTCTGACTATAAATAAAACAGAAATGATAAATGACCGTAGAGTACAAACCAAGGCTGCAAATAATAATAATAATAATTAATGCAGTCGTGCTACAGCAGTACCCAAGTAAAAGTTATCATCCCCGAAGTCCCTGCAAATTTCGGTTTTAATCGGAGAATGCAGCTGTCGCCGCCTTAACTTAAGGTATGTAAGTAATACGTACTTACGTTACTAAGAAAAAATCCCTAATCATTAAAAGTTAATATAGGAATCTATATATTTTCTATTCAGATTACTGTCGTCTGTGTTGTGACGCCGTGTAGTCTTGTAGATGTTTACTGGGGTTTCGGAGGAGCGAACTGTTTCCACATTCAGAGTTCTTCTACCCTGAAGATAAGGCAGCACGTTCCTCCGAAACGTCGGTGAGCGTTTATCATACTACACGGTGATATATGCCAAAAGACAGTAATCTTCGTGGCCACTGCTGTAAGAACCTCAGGTCACACTTTCTATACAGCCAATGTTTTTGCCGCTTTAATGCTGAACAAGATATAGTAAAAACGGATAATTTTTTCCCTTCGAGAGAGGTTGCGATGAGCAGGTAAGATTTCTTTCGTAATTAACCTCGTTAATGATACGCCTAGAGTCTTATAACGCAACAAGAACAAAGTTTTTGAGAAGTCAGTGTTTCTCCAAAGGTTTGCTTCCTGTCCCTGTCCAATAGTGGGGGAACTCGGCGGCATACCCAGTTATTGGATTTCCTGTGTCGAACACGCAAACGCCTGACAGTTATGCAGTACCGTCACGCAGCGCTGCACGGTGTGTTGCCGATACGTACAAGATAACGTGTGTTGTACATAATGTTTATTTCTCCCGTTTTTTTAAATACATCTGTTATCTATTATTATAAATGAAAAACTTTGATAAAACTTGATCACATAACCTCGAACTTCCACACTCGTAAGACCAGGTTATCCAATTTTTAGCTCCTGAAGTTTTGGGATGTCTCAAATACACAGCATTGATTTGCATGTTGCGTGCGCAGAATGTTACAGGGACGTCAAATATAACTGTGAACGTTTAAGAAAAGATGAAAAGTAGGAAGGGAAGTCTAGGGGGAGTTGACGTAGGTGCAGGAAATATGAAATTCCTCCCAAGACGAGTTAGGGGGTTGAAAATGTTTCATATCACTCAGTTGGTGTTTCGCCCTCAAGCTAAGAGGGTAGTTGCGTGTAACTGGAGGTATTTTACTTCGTGCTTATGAAAGAAGGCAAGTTAGAGTGAAGTTGTTATTGTTAAACATGTTATATTAAATAAGTGCTCATAAACTGAGCAGATGTTACAAATAGATAATTGTAAACATACATGGCAATGAATCGAACCTATCCCATCACCCCAACCCCAGTTGTGCCACCCTTGTACCAACCCCCTAACAGTGCATCAAGTGATTCAAACAAAAGCAGTCCACCCCATTCTGAAACTAACCCTCCTTCACCGTCCTCTGCAAAACGACTCAAATCATCATCTCTGACATCTCTTAATCACACACCACAAAACTTGGCAATTTATAATCAGCAAAACGAAAACCGGCCGTCGTTTCTTAAAAACAGGGGGAAATATTCAAAATCAAGACATAAGAGAGGTTTTTCAGATTTTAATGCAGGGACATATAACAATGATATGAATCTAACATATGAAGAGGCAGATGATTATGAAAGAGGAAATATCAGAAGAAGTCAGTATGAATTATATAGGGCCCAAGAAAGTGTTGAAGATGAGATCCAACCAAATATTCCAGGAGCAGTGATTGACCACTGCAATCACACCACTCAAATTTTTGTTAAGGTAAGAAGTCTGATCAGAATTCTTTAAGCAATTCAGAGAGCCTTAGAAAATTCTACTATATCTTCTGTAACTCCCTGTATACTGATTATTTTGGAATGCTGAGCAAAACTTGTTTAACTAGCATCCATTTGAAAAGATTCTTTTATAATATATTTATCATTTTAGGTGCAGCCTTTGTGTCTGTATCATTATTTTGCTAGCATATAAAGAGGATTGTAAATTCTTAACATTAATTTCGTTCAGAAATGTAGCAAATTTCAGGTTGTAACTTCCATAACAAAGCCTCTGTTTCATAAAATAAATGAGAGAAGATTTCTTGTTCAAATGTAAAGTGAAAGCAGTGTGCTATCATTCAGTACACCTGTACGAATAATGGTTTTATAAATATCAGTTTCTGGTGCATGGAATATGAATTATGCTATAACTGTTTTAATTCTATTTTGTTAAAATCATTACTGTATTTTTGTACACTTAAATACAATCTTACATTCACCTTAATTAAGTACTAACTTATACGATTTAACTAATTCCATGGAATGAGGTCCTTCCTCAGAAACTACCCGTCACTCAGCAACTCAAGAATTTTTCAACATTTTATGAACCCGAAGGTTCATTACCATGTTTACATGAGCTTGTTACTGGTCCTTATACTGAGCCAGATAAATCCTGTCCATACTACTCTATACTATTTATCTAAGATAAATTTTAATATTATCCTCCCACATACATCTAGGTCTTCTTAGTTGCCTCTCTCCTTCTGGATTTCCCATCAAAACCCTGTATGCACTCCATTGCTCTCCAATGTATGCTACATGACCTGCCCATCCAATCCTCCTCTACTTATTCATTCTATTTATATTCAGCAAGAAGTACAAGTTATGAAGCCCTCATTATGACTTTTCTTCAGCCCCTTACAATCTAATCTCTTTTGGGACCTGTAAGATTTATCAAATAGTTTTGTCATTGTCGTATTCTAAGTCATAGGTCACACTCTTCAGATGGTTCTGCTTTTTTAAATTTTGTTATTTCAGATACCATAGATAAGATAGTGTTATGCTTGTAACATATCAATTTTTGTTTGCCTGTAGGATGAATTTAGTAGTAGTAGTAGTAGTAGTAGTAGTAGTAGTAGTAGTAGTAGTAGAATAATGACAACAATAATAATAAACAATTTTACTGATATTTGGGAGCAAAAGCCAGAGAGATCAAAGACCACTCATATATGAAAGAAGTTGAGATTTACCGGATGTCACTGTGGGAAGAAGAAGCACAACACCAAGAAAAAGCAGAATGGATAAGAAGAGAATAAAAAGTAAAAGCTCTGGCAGAGAGGCTGGATATAATAATTAAAAATAAACTTCTATTTTTCAAAATTAAGGAAAGTAGGTTAATATGAAATTTTGGGAAGAATTAATTGCCTGCTTTCCTTCAATACGACATGGACCACATAGAAAACTATGACTCCAACAATTCTTCTATTCTTGCGCCTGTATTTATTGACACAGTAACGTTTTTACCAAGTCATTGCTTAGCAACAGTAGGAGATATACATACAGATGGGAGGGGTTTATGAAGTATGTCATTGAGGTGGGCTCAAGTGCCATGATATATATATATATATATATATATAAAGTTTAAAAAAAAAATCGGTTAAAATAAGGAAAGTAGGCTAACAAGAAAAATAAGATTTGCATATTGGAAGATACCCTTGGAGAGTAATGTAATGCAGGAGGAGGCTGAAGAGAAATTAAAATACAAAAACTTTATCATAGACATTCAGTAAATGTGGAGTAAATGAAATGCTTTATTGCACTGGTAGTCAATGGGGCCAGAAGAATAGTATCAAAATTACTAAACAAGTACTTGGCAGCAAAACCGTGAAAGTATTCAAGATTGTCTACAAAATACAGTTGTTCTAGGATCATCATACATAATGAGGAAAGTACTATGATCCTGAAGCCTAAGTAATAGGGCTCACTGCTAGTTCAAAAAGGGAAGCACAAAAGAAACAAACCCTGTGACAAAATAATAACAATGATTATGATCATGACAGTGACAATAACAATGATGACACAACAACAACAACAACAACAACAACAACAACAACAACAACAACAACAACAACAACAACAACAAAACAGAAACATAACTAAAAACTTATGTATAAGATTCCTAGCTCCAGTGGTTCACTAATTATTACTATCAGACTAAAAGCTAAATTTACTCTCCATGCAGATGTTATGTTTTTTACATTCTACATACACACACATACACACATACATGCACACACACATGCACACACACATGCACTCTCCACACCAACCACACGCCCAGACAAGAAGCCCCTAAAGAGAACTTGCATATTTTTCAGAGATGTTACCACACAGCATTTGAGGGTCCTAGATGGAAGTGGTGCTAATATCTGCCCTACCTCATAAATTCATGTATCTCTCATGTCTTTATCAAAAAGTATGGACCTTTCTTGACATCTACTGGTATGATGTTAAAACCAGTTTTCTGGAAATCTGATCAACTCATTCATAATTTGAAAGGGGAACACTCAGATTGCATGCTGACCTCATTAGCCTACTTTCTTTCCTTAAAAAAGGAAAGTAAGCTAATAATACAGTACTTTGAAACATATTTGCTGATTTAATCAACAGATTATGAAATAATATAATCCACTTAAAAATATCTACAATATTCCATCAGGAAAGCCCTCCAAATACAATAATATACAATGCATGTAGCTGAAGAAACTAATTCAACTGTAATATCTGAATTGCCTGAGAATTTATATGAAAACACAAGTGCATGCTTATTCTGCAGACCACAAATCCTTTACTAGTTGGTGTTAATATCTCTCTTTCGTCATTATTTATGGCTGAATAGTAATTGACCAATAAACAGATTAGTACTGAAATCAATAGGTCCAACTTCACTAACACAGAATTCTGCCTTTGAACTAAGTCTTGCATGAAATCAATGTAGTTTATTTATATTGCCTGAATAATTCATACTGGAAATACAAGTGCAATCTGTGAAAAAATATTTCTTCATCTGAAAATCGCTGTTCTATGCAGATTACATAGAATGTGTGTGTGTGTGTGTATTCATTGTGTCCACATAAGTTGTTATGCAGCAACATCTTGGGTAGAAGGTATCACTCAGCTTGGAGTTTGGATGTGTGCTTGCTTGTGTTACTTACTGCCATCACTGTCACACTTTGATGGCTTTCATAAAAAGAATCTGCCTTATAAACTAGGTACTCAAATTCCAGATTAGACCACAAGATCTAATCCATGAAAGAAAATTCACCAACCAACCCCAAATTTCAACACTATTGTCACTAAAGTACAACATTGGACACAAGCCAGATCCATTTACTTAAAATACTCACAACCCATCTCCCTGGGATTTACCATAACATTGTAACAGACTTGCTTAAAGCGTTGCTAGCTAAGAGAAGGGTAAACACATATCACAGCAACAAATGCACTACAATAGGGCGTCCATTGCTAGGAAAGCATGGGTGGACACACCTGACATAGATATAGATAAGATGATGGATAATGTCCAAAAACATAATATTTGTACTAATCTACCATCGTCACAAACTTTCCAATCTTATTTTTAATTTATGTTCTCCTCTGAAAATAAGATGCATTTTACAACCACATGAAAGAGAAGGAAATTGTTTTATATATTTTGAATAGCAGGAAACCCAGTTTCTATATATATGTAGCAAATATTCTTAAATTTCAGGTCTTGAGCCAACACCCACATGGATCCTCACAGCGAATTTGTAATATCAGAGAGGACAAAAACGGTGCAGTAACAATCTACATGTCAAAGCCAGAGAAAGATCATGATAATATCAATAATCCAAAACAATATGAGGATAATTATCAACAACTGAAGAGACAGAAGGACTGCCACAATCTTCAAAATCATCCCACAGAACCACCAGCGATTAAACCTAGAAGATCGAAATGGAAAACAAACAAGGAAGCAAAGTCCCACTTAAAAACGGCATGTGCTGTTGACAGTAGTCTGCCAGAAGATCATCAGGACATTTCTGGGACATCAAGAATGAATGCAACATTACCTTCTATAGAGGAAAGTCAACCTAATATTCAAAACTATGATCCTGAATACAGTAGGAACGATAACAGAAATAAAGATGATACTCATGTATTGATGAGTGGCGAAGGTGAGATTAGATTAGATAATTCAAAAGTGATATATAAAGACACAGAGTTACCATTAAGTGTAATCAATAAAGAGCTTACTTCAGGACAGTATACATCTGTTGGAGTTCAGGTGTCTCCTTCGCCACAGTATCGTTTGAGGTTTCTACCAATAGGCGGTTGCACTGCTTATAACAATAGTGAGTGGGAACTTTGTGGGATCAAAGGGATACGATTGATACTGCACCTCGTAGGTCGGTGGATATTCTCCCAGTGTGGGTTAGGAGTGATACTCTTCATCTGGGCTTTGCTAGGGGCTGCTGCATTCCGAGCAACAGAAGGGCCTTATGAGGAGCAGGTAGCAAGAGAACTGATGAACAAGCAACATGAACTAGTAATTGAATTGGCGAGGGATTTAAGGATATTAAAACAGGAGGAACCAGTGTGGCGCAATAAGATAGATTATTATGTGGGCAAACACAAGGAAATACTACTTGAAGCAGTGAGTGATGGGTATGGAGAAGGAGGCAGTAAAGGCAAGATATGGAGTTATGCAGGGTGTCTGCTCTTTGCTGTGTCACTTCTTACCACATTAGGTAAGATGAACTTAATTTTTACCATATTTGCTAGGAATTTATTTCTGCTGTGCTGGCACCTTTTTTTCACAAAATATAAACATGAAACAGAAGTGGAAGTTTGTGTTCTAATTGAGTAACCAGCCAGTGTTTTACATATGTGTTCTTCGCATGTTGCATATATTGTTGGTTTTGGTTCTCATTCAGTGTGGATACAAATCCCTTCTTGTCAATCTAATCACACCTCAGACACTGTAAAGTCACAAGTTATTTTCCATGTATTCATTAAATATTTAACACATTAAAACATTAATTCTCTGTTTCATGTAACACACCGATATTTGCAGGATGAACAGTTTTTGAGAAATTTGGTAAAGTTTTAAATCTCCTCTATAGAAAGTAGGGGTAGCAATTGTCCAGTATGCAACATTATTAATTCCCCTATAAACTTCATATGGATATTGTTCTAAAACTTATGACTGGTGTATTAATGTCATCGTTATCACCATCATTATCCTAACCTACACCTCCACCATCACCACTACCACTAATATTATTACTGTTACTGTTGCTGTTATTTTCATTACAGCACGTTATTTGAACTCTAGCATCCAGTGTCTAATTAAAAATGTAAAATGCTGAAAATTATGCGTCTTATATATCTCTGTCTTCATCCTCATATCTCTCTTTTTCTTTTTGTGTCTTGCTTGAAAATGGATATAGAGTCAGTCTCAGAAAGGTATTAATCTTTAAAATTTTACATTTTTAATCACTGGGTGAAGTCCAATAAAATTCCATACCAAGCTTTATTAAAATAGCTCATGCAGTAAAAAATATGTTTGAAGAGAAAAATATCCATACAGCCCTTCGTTCTATGCATATTTTACAAAAATAAAGTTATGATTGAAATTTGGCATGAGGTATGATGGCTTTGATGTGTAAAATTCTCTTTTCTTTCTCAAAATTTCTCCATTTCCATTGAGGTACTTTATCAAAATAATACTTTCTTTGATCTTTCTCATATTTTCTTTGGTGTAAAGCCATATATTTTAAGTTGCAATGCTCAAGATATTGTCACGTGTATTAGTGGATCTGTGACTACAGACAGTATGGATTGGTGAATGCATTTATTGACCACTTGTATACGCCACTCAGAACTACACTTTACAGATCGTCAACATAAACAGACTCATGACTATGGTCTATTACAGTCTCCACTAGCCATTTCCTGGCAACAGGTTTGACACAGTGAAGTGTCCTGAACTCAGGTCCTTTTGTCACAGCTGCCTAGATAGAACTCTTATCAACTGACAACTCAACTAACTGGGTCCCAGGCTGGCAGCCATTTCACACCAACCTCCTAGTCTTTTCTTCACAAGCTGACTTCCAACTGACAACCAAACTCTCTCTCACCAAACAACTACTTCACATCACTTCACTGACCTGAGCTGCCATTAGCTCTCTCCTCCAAAACTCAACTGGCCCTGCTTATAACATTTTGGCATGAATAATATATAAAACATCGTTTCCATTTTTATAGTCAAGCAATACCTTGACTGTGGCATGGAAACAGGTACTGTGTATATGCCTATTGCATAGCAACAACTGTTGTTTACAGAGTCACCGCTTAGCAATGGATCTGTATGACAATACAACAATATGACCATGTGCAGTTCTTCTTTTAGACATTGTTCCTCTCAGAAGATATTGTGGCATATTTGCTCAAGGCAAGAACTGTGAAGCCAGCAGAGACATCCTTTGCTAGGGAACGGCTCTGCAAACACACCTGTTTCTAGGCAACAGATTCATAACATGCAGCACTGGGGTAACTGAGAAGTGGTTTTCAATACGTGGTCCATGTGATAGCTACATGATACAACAATAGAAGAACTGTTGTGAGAAGTGTTTTCTGTGCAGTTTGTGCCAAGATGTTATAAACAGGATAAATCTAGAGTTTAGTTAGTTGTGAGGCAGTCACTGGCCAGTAAGGACATGAACATGGAAGCCGAATATATGATGGCATTAGAAACCATTACCAAGTGACAACCAGTAAAGTTACAGCAAACTGAATAGATAGCATACGTGCTGTAGGGAACTACAGAGTGTGTGAATAAGCATTAGGGCTATGGCCACTCCATATGCATGACAATATGCAGGCCAGAAGAGGACCACTTTTTTCATTCATAGCATGAAAAGAAATTGATCTTTTATTTTTAGTTGTTGAAAAATACATCAATAATATGTCTTATCAGTACTGGATAAACTGAAGTTATGAAGAATGCCGTCTTCTGGGATGTGGCGTAGTGTAGATATCTTGTTAACCGACGTTTCAGAGGAACGTATCTTCTCCATCTTCAGGGTATAAGAAATCCGCTAGCGATGAACTAATATGAGCATCCTTCATAGTCCCTGCTGTGAAAACCTCAAATCTTACAGACTAAAGTTATCATTAATTTCTTACTGTACCTCCTATTTTTCACCCTCTCAGTGCTAAGTTCGATTCAGAGAACAATTCCTTGCTTTTTTTTTTCTTTCTATAATTGCATTGAAAGTTACATCTCCATTTCTGAAAGGACACACTTTTATCTTGAATTATTAAGAGATGGCAGGAGATTGTACTTTCACTTATATTAGAAATTTCCAGATGTTCTCAGACATTAAAGTACATTTACAAAACCTTAGCATTAGTCCCAGTGATCAGTCAGTTGAATATAGTCCACATCTTAAAATCCTGTTTGTCCATGTTAATATTATCCTCCCATTTACACCCATATTTATGAAGTGATCTCTTCACTTTATATTTTCTGCCTAAATATTTCTGTACTTTTCTCTTCTCCCATATTCATGCTATATGTCCCACTTATTCCATCCCCCTTGATCAAGTGACATATTATAAAATACAGAAGTTCTTAGAAGATATGTAACTATTGTTTTATGACAAGATATTCTATCCAGTGAATTTAAACGGTCTGGAAGAAAATTATTAATACAAATTCATATTTGTACAATATATACCACTTTTTAACTTTGTGAAATTAAAAAGTTTTATGAAACCATCAAATACTTGTGCTTAAAAATTCTTACAGATCTTTCCTCTGCCGTTCTTCTCTCTTTCAGCATAATGCGAGTGAGAGAGTGAGAGTGCTGTCAGGCAGGACCATCCATTATGAATTGGCTATCGATTTTAGTTTAGTCTCCAGTAACTGTGGCTAATTTTATCTCTTTACGGGTCATATCCCCTCACGTTTCAAAGAACACATTAAATTAAGTTCCCCTGTTTACTACATATAGATTGTGTACCTGTTACAAAGTCAGTGAACTGCCTTTCCCTCACACTGGAACTGTGCATACATTTTGTCTTCAGTTTTGTTGTAACAATCAGTCCCCTTATTATTATAATACCATCAGCATAAATGAATTCTATGCAATTTGATTTACTTCAGCATAACTTTTGACATTTCTGTCTCCAGATACATGTGTCTGCACTAAGGAGCCCATGAACAAATCTGATCCTGAAGAAAGCAGTCTTCTGGGATTTGGCACCGTGTATATGTGGTGTTAACCGACGTTTCGGAGGAACGTATCGCCTCCATCTTCAGGGTAGAAGAAAAAATATAAGAAATCTGCAAGTGAAGAGACCGTGAGACCGGTAAAAGCAGACTGCTTTTAGAGAGAAACAAGAGAAACAAGTTCACACACCACTGGATATAGAATGTGTCAAAAACCAAAACAAATGTAAAAGCAGACTGCTTTTACCGGTTCTCACGGTCTCTTCGCTTGCAGATTTCTTATATTTTTTCTTCTACCCTGAAGATGGAGGCGATACGTTCCTCCGAAACGTCGGTTAACACCACATATACACGGTGCCAAATCCCAGAAGACTGCTTTCTTCATAGTCACCGCCGTGAAAGCCTCAAATCTTACAAATCTGATCCTCACAAAGCAGTGAGCCTGAACATACTAAACTATGGTATCTAATATGGAGTTGTCATGAGTAGCAAAAGGAAATGTTTGCATGCAGGATGGCATACTTATATCTAAAAATCAGCTTGGAAATTCTGTGTAATGTTGGCTGACTAATTTAATTTAATTTATTCGTATATTCAAGTAGATCCAATTCATCATCATCAGTAATCTGTCAAGACGACAGGTCCACAGTCTCTTTCAAAACAATTCCTCCACTTAATGCGATCTAGAGCTTTCTCCTTCAAATGACAGTATCCTCTTCTGTCCCCAAGGTCATCCAGCATCTTCTTACGTCTTCTTCCTCGTCTTCTTGTCACTTCTATCCGCCCATCTATCTTTCCTTCGATAGCTTCTTTTAGAAGGCAGTTTCTGCGTAAAACATGACCAATCCAATTAGCCTTCCGTTTTCTTATTTCATGTAGGATATTCCTCTGCTCACTGACTCTAATTAACACTTCTTCATTTCTCACATAATCGGTCCAACTGATCTTCTCCATTCTTCTCCAACACCACATTTCGAAACTTTCCAGATGTTTCTGATCTACTGCCCTAAGTGTCCATGTTTCAGCCCCATACAGAGCTATGCTCCAAATGTAGCATTTCACTAGTTTCTTCCTCAAATTTAAGTCCAATTTGCTGGTAAAAAGATTCTTCTTCTTGCTAAATGCAGCTTTTGCCATGGCAATCCTGGATTTAATTTCACAAGTACACCTTCCATCATCTGTTAACAAGCTACCCAAATATTTAAAACATTTCACATTCTCCACTTGTTTTTGGTCTATCTTTATTGTGACTGGGGTTGGTTGTCTCGAAATTTTCATTACTTTTGTTTTCTCCACATTCATTTCCATGCCATAGCACCTTCCAATTTCAATTAGTCTATCAATCATGCCCTGTAGCACAGTTTCTTCCTTAGCCATTAACACAAGGTCATCTGCATATTTCACAGTTTGAATAATTTGCCCTCCTACTTTGAAGTCACCGAGCCCATCCAGAGCTTCCTTGGTAAGGCATTCGCTGTACAAGTTGAACAGAATTGGTGATAAACAGCATCC